TGCTTCCAGGTTTTCAATGGTGGTCTAACATCAATCGGTTCATGATCTCAGTCAAAAACTTAACAATCTCCACAACCACTATACTGATAAATGAATATTTATTATACTTCAAAATAAATCTAAAATTTATATCAAATTACTTTGGAGTTATATATATATGTATAAATTTAACTCCGCCTGGAGCCCTCCTGCGACTACTTCCGGTCCCAATCCCGGATAAAGGAGGAGAGTTGAGCATTGGGTTATCGACCCGATCACGTAGAAAACTAACTCGCTAAAAAAACACTAGCCAGAAAAAATTATTCAAACCATTAAAACTCTACCCTTGAAGTTAGGTCTTCATTTAGAAGAGTTATGACGCTTTATGGTGAAAGCTTAGATCCCTCGGAAGTCACGAGGCTGGTGCTTCTTCTGAAAGCCAGAGCAACCATTAATTTAGGTACATGGAATGTTCGTACAATGTAGGAGAACGGGAGAATCTTTCAAATTGCTGCAGATATATAATTTACCTATCTGATCAATAGTCAAATTTAACTATACTATAACTGACACCACTCGTTATTAGGTGATCAATAGCTTAAGGTATAGACGTAATTTAAAATTTCAATAAATTAAACTACTTCAGCTAATAAATATAACTAAATTAGAGTAATTTATCCGATTCTTCTTAAAAGCAAACATTATCATTATCGTTAGTTCCTTTCCAGTTAAGTGACTAAACATGGATACTTTTTCCTAACCTACAATATTTCATTGTACAAAATTATCAGTGTAAATATCTATATAGTGTCTTCTTTAATCATCTTAAACACCAGTTAGGTAATATGTTGAATTTTTCATTATTCTTATAATGAATGAAATGATTATTTAGTATTCAGATAACTTTGATAGATGACTGTCAACTCTTCAAGATGGACACGGACGTTACTTGACAATAAGTATTGTTTGTCTGTACAAATCAGAACAGTTGCATAAGTCCCTGACTAAACGGATTTCAAATGAAAATGATGACTGGAAAATCTAATCAAAGACAGTAAAGGAAAGTTCAAGGTGAACAGGACTAAATGATAATCCATGAACAAATTTCATATCGAAATGTTAACGTTAAAAAGATCAAATAGGTAAGTTGACTTAAATTGAGAACTTGGATTCGAAAGAGTAAATATTTATTTGTCATTCACCTTGGATATTATTATCAAGGTCCCAGAGTTGTGAGATTGTACGATTCTATGCTTAATACTATATATAAATATACATATGTTCTTGGTTGCGATCTGTTGTAAGATAACTTGTTCATACCTCTGATCGATTTCGTGCTACATGAAACAACTTTCCAGTACTTCCTAGTTTCTTATAAATTTCTGTAGGTGATATCACCCGCAAATCGATGTTTCTGCATGAATTTCCTATACTACTAATTATTATGTATTTTAACCCAACAATATTCACTAAAGTAGTATATTTTTTAGATTTCATTATTCACTATGTGTTACGATCAACATTAATTTGCTACTGTTTACAATAATATCTTGTTATATAACAGAGATATAACTGCCAGTGATACCACTTCCTCTCATTGAAGTGATCCATCCATGAAGTGGTTCTCTTTTATTCAAAATACTGAATTCAGCAAATCGATAATCACAACGATAGAAAGAAAATCGTTTAAATTATTTGTATTTGAAAATTATCCCTCCTAAGTTTTTATCTTCGTAATACAATGACGTCTTAACTTAATGTAATTTAAATTCATCTACTCGTGAACTTCGAGTTGTTTTCTCAGTGTGTCAAATAAATATCATCTGCTCACTAGTGACTGACTTCAAGAGATACTCCTGGAGTTCTAGTGAGAAGCCGTTACCAGTGGAGTTCAACCAGGTCAGTTGTGAGATATCAGCTCACTGAAGACAATCGTGTACGGTGGCGCAACTTCGTGGATTGATTGAAGTTAGACATTAACACCATTGGATGCCGGCTCAGTGGTCTAGTTGGTTAAGCACTTGGCGCGAGACTGGTAGGTCCTGGGTGCGGTATCGTGGATGCGCACTGCTGAGGAGTCCCATACTAGGACGAAGCGGCCGTCCAGTGCCTCCAGGTTTTCCATGGTGGTCTAGCTTCAATTGACTCATGATTTAAATCTGTGAAATAATTATTTGTAAACATTTTCTTCTTCTAAAGTATGATTTGTTTCTAAAGTAATCTTTGAATAATTATATGAAAATACATGGAGTTACATTTGATTACATAACTAATTTAATCCGGATGATATTATTTATTAAGGGTAGTAGTGATCTATTTCGTGTATATACGGTTTGATACAGAAATCCGATAGTAATATTTTTTTTAATGAAGCACGTAAACGACGAATGACACACACATATTCGACCATTCAACATCTTCGTTATGATTCACTTAAAGATGTCATTATTGATTAATGACTTCCGTTTATAAACACGTTTTTTTTAGCAAAGAGAATAAAACAAAGAAGAAATGGATGTTTTGATTGTATCTTGTCATGAAGTATTAAGTTTTCTCAAAATACAACAGATTTAAAATCATTCGTGTTCTCACCTACATTAAAGTGATTTTCTAAATCATAAAATCTTGTTACCAAAGTAAGTAATCAGATAAGTGAATAATCCTTATATTTCTATATAGGATTTCGAATCACTATTCATAATAGATGATAATTTTTGAAAAACCAGAAAGACCCTGTTTTGATTACCTAAATGGTACATGGTCGTGCACTGTTGAGGTTTATGATGAGATCTTTTTAATTTTTCTATAAACTTATAAATTGACCAGACACCTATAAATACGAGTGTACGACGTAAGTAAATGATTTCGTCTAAAAGGAGATTTTCTTTACTGAATTCTCTTTATTTTTATTCCATGAAGTTACAGACAAATTCTATGGTTATCATAACTATAAGTATTAGTAAGCAGAGATGGATAGTGGCTATCAGTGGAAACCAGAAAACGCGTTTTGCCCTATTTAGGACTTGTCAGCTGGATGTACCTACATCCCAGACAATATTAAGACAATCCATATAGGATGCATATATATCAATACGTGACTGATCAATTGTAGGCTTAAACATCAAACAAAAGACTTAACTAACCAAAACAAAAAATGAATCATAAGTATTAATCATTAATATTTTTATCAATGTAAAGAAATTGGTCATATAGACATACAATACATATCTTCCAACATTTCTAAGGAATAATTATGAAAGTCTCATTACTCGAATAGCTTGAGTTTACATTCATCTTTTATAATTAATCGAGTAAAAGAAATTTTTTTACTGACATCAAAAACTTTGTTATACAAGGAAAAATTAATTAGACGATAAACAATAAATTTGAATGGTAAAATTATTGTAAATTTCTATCACCTATAATGCACGATATGACAAAGCCAAATACGTGGAGGGTTTTTTTTGAAGTAACTACAATTATAATAAGAAGGGGTTTTGTGGAGATTGTAGTAATTTCAAAAGTTGAGATCATGAATCAGTTGAACCTAGACCACCACGGAAAACCTATTATAAATCCATTTATAGTGAAAAAGCAATAAATTTGACCCCATGGTTGATTATCTATTTCTAAGATTTCTTACACTGGTTTCAACAGGTATTTCCTGGAATTCTAGTGAGAAGCAGTAACCAGTGGAGTTCAACCAGGTCAGTTGTGAGATAGTAACTGACTGATGACAATGGTGGATATGTCGCCCGATTTCGTGGGTTGTTTGAAGTTAGACATTAACACCGTTTGATGCCGACCGGCTCAGTGGTCTGGTGGTTAAGCGCTCGCGCATGAGACAGATAGGTCCTGGGTTCGAATTTCGGGATTGTGGATGTGCACTACTGAAGAGTCCTAAAATGAGACGAAACAGCCGTCCAGTGCTTCCTGGTTTTCCATGGTTGTGTAGCTTCAATTGACTCATGATCTCCACTATTGAAATAACTGCAATTATACACATATTCTAAACTGAAAGAACATTTACCAAGTTAGACACAGAGTTGACTAATATTAACAAAAATTTCCTAAAATATTCGCTTTCGAAAGTTTGTTTATTGATTCGCTTAATTTGTTTTTCTGGGTAACATAGTTTACTATTACCTCTCATACTGACATAAAAATTTAATAAGCTCAGACACTGAGCTTATAATAATTTTTTTGCTATTGTAATATGCAATAGAATTCAAAACGTCTATTCAATTCTATCTGAATTTCATTATTTGGATTAGTCTGTAACCCAGTGTTGTTGTGTTCACCTTTAAACTTAGTACTTCATGAATAGGTTAGTAATCAGTTATCATTGGTTTGACTTTTCAAGTTGCTTTATAAGATTAAATTAATTTGCTCTTATACTCTTAGAAAAAGTATCATTTTGATATCTAAATAACAGTGGTCATATAAACTGAATATGATAAATCTTGAGTTCAATCTACCTATATTTATGGTAGATACTTGTTGAATATTATATTCATTAATATAGTTTAAAAACAATACGTATCTCTTAAATAAACTTTAATTTCATTGGTCGGTCTTTTTCCTTAAAATAACTAGGAAAATGATCGAATTTATACAACAACCAATAAAAAAGCAAAGATCGGTGAGAAATTAATATTCTCTTCTTATTTTCCCATTCTTCAAACAATTTAATACCCTCTTTAATATTTTAAACTAGTGTGTTCTTGCAAATTCTAAAACCCCCTTTCAATTGATGAATAAATATTACTTGACAACGATTGGTTAAAAGGATAACAATTTATTATGAAGTATGTTTTGGGAAAATATCAACCTAAAATATGAAGTGTATACTATTAATCAGTAAGAGAGGAGTCAATTGGTTTAGGGTGGGGTTACGGTAGGAAACAGTAATCACTTCAAATATTACAATATAAGATTAAAATTGACCTAATCAGTTAAACATTATATTTAAGTGTAATCACCTATTTATTTAACAAACCATTTTAAACATTTATTATAATATGAATGGAAAAAGTCCACATTTTCTTGTTAGTCGACTGTTAGAAGATACTAAAATATTTGATAATGGAACATCATCATCTAAAAACCAATTTGATAATAGTTTGGATGATGTTGACAATAATACTGATGATAAATATTCACAACAGAGAAACATGGATGAATTAGTTCATAAAAGTAAGTTTCTTCTTTTTTTTTAAAAAAAAGCTATAACTTGGAGTTCATTTAGCATGAATTTAAAATTGGCTTGAGTTTTTTTTTCTAACATAATCAGTGTTTAATTAGTGTGTTTTATCTAGAACTTTTGACTAATTCTTCATTCATTTATTGAAAGTGAAGTGCATGTTAGCGTGTAATAGTCATTAAAAATTCCATTTTAAACCGTAACTTACACTACACTACTGTCTTTCATCCTGCATTTTTTACTGCATCACATTTACTTGTTGACAACATAAAGAAATAGATACATTTTAATGCCTAAATGAAATCTTTAGCATATAACTAACATATTATTATTCTCCAATAAATTACCCAATAAACATAAGAATGATCAAAACTATCTGATACTTCACACTCTTTGAATGTTGGAAATGTTGCTCAGTCAGTATAATACGATTCACTGATTCCGAATTATACTATGAAGTTTGCAACATAAGCTTTCACTTCGTAAACATTTCTTAATGTAAGTTACTAAAGAATAACCAAATCTATGTCCATCAACTTCGAATGGATATTTATTAAATTAATACTGTTGAATAATAAGGTATTTGAATACAAAATACCAATAAATATCAGGCACTCTCGATATTTTATACAAATCTATTAGGATTAGTCAGTGAAAATGAGAGTTGAATAGCTAATGGTAAAGCAGAATAAAGTGAAATATTTATTCTCAGTAGAGAGTTTTGGAGATTATTAAGTTTTTTTATTGAGATCATGATCATAGTCTCCACTAGTGACTAGCTTCCTGAGGAGATTCGCGGAGTTCTAATGAGAATTTGTGACCAATGGAGCTAATCCGTGTCGGGTAGAGACAGGTATCTACCTCAGTAGAATGGAAGATGGTCGCGCAATTTCGTGTATCGGTTGAGGCTAGACATCAACACTGTTGGATGCCGGCCAGCTCAGTGGTCTAGAGGTTAAGCGTTCACGCGCAAGGTTGAAGGCCCTGTATTTGAATTCTGCGAAAAGGATCGTGGGTGCACACCACTAAGGAGTCCCACAATAGAACGAAACGGCCTTCCAGTACTTCCAAGATTTCAATGGTAGTCTAACATCAATCTATTCATGATCTCAATCCAAAAAAATTTCTTAGTGAACAGTGATTAGCAAGTTTTCTAATAGTAATTTATATTCATTAATGGTTTATATCTTAATAAATTATGTAAGAAGAAATTAGTTTTAAAGGTAAATCAAAACAGTATCCCGTTGTAAAGATTCATTAATTTGTTCTTTTCGACACTTCAATATATTCCGTAGAATAAGTGTCATTTAATAATCTTTTTCTATCAACTGTAAATAAGATTTTAACAATAATTTTAACTGATAATCAATCGATTACTATACGGGAACTAATGACAATGGATACAGATTATTGGCCTAGAAGATAATGTAAACTGAAATCGACCATCATATATTTTCATATCCAACAATTGAATAATGACTACGAAAATTAAGATAATTGTTTAGCTTAATTTACTAAAGATCAAAGACAAATGATCGAAATATTGATGTAACTAAGATCCATGTTGATATCTAATCAATATTTAACTTTCTAAAAAGTGTTTGTTTACATACTAGTTATCAATGAATAGAAATTGATAATACTACTAATGTAATATGGTTTTAATAATTGCTATCCACTAAACTTAACAGCAAATTGTTTTATTATTGAGTTACCATTAATGAATTATATATTTAGTTGAAAAATACCATTTTCTAAGCAGTTCTGATCTGGTTTTAACATTATTACTGAATTAGTTATTTCACTGGTTGAAATCATCAGTCATTTGAAGCTAGACCACCACGGAAAACCTGGAAAAGATTCGGACCCAGGACCTATCAGTCTTGCGCCAGGCGCTTAATCGACTAGACCACTGAGCCGGCATCCAACGAGGGGGATCGTGGATGCGCACTGCTGAGGAGTACCGTACTAGGACGAAACGGCAGTTTAATGCTCCCAGGTTTTCCATGGTGGTCTAGCTTCAATGGACTCATGATTTTAACCAATGAAATTTCTAAAAATCTCCACAAAACCCATTCTGAATTACTTATATTGTAACCAAATAACTGTTTAACTTCACTTCATTGTGTTGATGATGGATGTTCTGTATAAATCAAAGATAAATTACCTATCCTGTTGAGTTCTCATATAATTAATTCCCCCCCCAAAAAACCCAGTTGATTTACTGAAGAAAAGATTATTAATCAATGGTACAAACTATACCATGAACACTTTATTTTTAATTACATTCTAAATGAAGGCGGTAAAAATGTTGACAATTAGATAGGCAATTGAATGAACTAAAAATTCGTATCATTTATGTTAAGGATAAATTGTTACATCTAGTATCTAAGTGATTTCAATATTTCATTTTAACCTGTGGATAATAAATGTGAACTTCATCCCTTAAATATTTTCAGGAATTATTTAAGAATACTAAGCTTCTATTTGATTTGTTTATCTAGAATTGTACTAAATTGGTTTCATTTATAAGGCTTCATTTAGATATATTTACATGACGTTTCTCTCAAAAGTTATTAAAAACTGAAATAAATGTATTTAAGTCAAACCAAGTATATAGCAACGTATTCTATTACGATAACATAATAATGAATGTTAGTAATATGATTAAAAAATTTATACGTACACTCTGTCGTTCCTTCTTGCTTTACTCATTCTCATAACAGTTTAACTTTTTATTATCAGTACAGAGTTGTGGAATCTGTTAAGTTTTAATTGAAACCGAAGGTCCTGAATTCGAGTTCCACATGCGAAATCGTGAATTTGCACTACTGAGAAGTTCCATACTAGGACGAAACAGTCATCCACTGATTTCAGGTTTTCTATGACAGTCTAACATTGATCGGTTCATAACTTCAATTAATACCTTCTAATTATTTATAATTTACATCATAAATGGAATGATAGCTCCCATTTACCTTTGTTTAATTTTAATATTGTAATGTTAATAAAAAAAGCACTCCCACATATAGTAATTTATGGGTTTATGTATCCATTAAAAAAATATATATTTCTCTATATCAGTAAGATTACTTATTGATAGTCATTTCGTTTTTGTAGAAATACACAGGGAACTTAAAAAGATTATCAGTTAATCATGAGCTATTCATTGTGTTGAAACTCAATATTTTCAGATGATAAGTTATGATCTACTTGACATGAATGATTTAAGTACATGATGAATTATTACACCAAGTTTAACTATGTAATGTAATAATAAGAATTAAACACGTCAAGAAAGAATCTGTTTTTTTTTGTTCCTAGAATGTTTTATGAAATCAAGTGTACATGACGAATCAAATAGCAATTGATTGTTTTATTTATTTGGCGAATAAGAAAGTAGAAGTAAACGGTATACTGAAATAAGGTAGTTAGTTAGTGATCATATTAAATCAGTAATATAAGTTTTACGAATTTTCTAATATTTACTAAACTTTTTAAAAATATCAGTTAAGAGCTTCGCTTATTATTAGATTAATAGGAAATAGCTTTATGAAGATTGATTTAATTTATAGATCATGCTCATCACAGACGGATCACAGTTAGTAAGATTTAAATATGTCAGATGTGACAAAGTTGTCATTAACAGAACTGAACTATTGATATACCATGTCGCGAATTGGTTAAAATTGGAATCGTACCACTAGTTCCCAGTTCAGTCATTTCTAATGATTACGTATTCATTGAGGAACCTGTAGGTCCTGAGTTCCATTCCTAGAAGGATCAAAAGTGGGGATCAACAAGGAGTCTAATCCCAGCATAAAATATTTGTCTAGTGTTCGGTAGTTTTCACTGGTAACCTAACTCTAATCATTTTGCGACGAATGCAACTTAAAATCCAATGTGTTATTTAATTTGATAAGTTTTAGAAATTCACTGAATCATAAAAGATTGAACTGTAGCTTGTAGAAATCTGCTTATAGATAAAATCAATCTAAACTTTCATTTGACTAACTTAATAATCAGCCTTTTTTTCGTTGATTTCTACTAAGAATTAAGTTTTGACGTGATGAATATCACCCTCAAAATAGACACAGAATATGTTCATCATCATGATATTCACTAGGATCTGATGATTTAATTAATGAACAAAGATGAATTTGAAATAATACTATCATCCAGGAATTTATAATAAATCAGTAAGGTTTACTAACTTACTTACTCCTGTTAGTCCTCATGGAGGAGTGTAGGCCGCTCACTAGCATTCTCCATTCTACCCTGTCTTGGACAGTCCTTTCCAGCTCTTTTCAGTTGTTATTCATCTTTTTCATATCTGCTTCTATTTCTCGATGTAATGTATTCTTTGACCTTCCTCTTTTCCGCTCCCCATCATGATTCCAAGTTAAGGCTTGCCTCGTGATGTAGTTTGGTGATTTCCGTAATGTATATCAAAATCTATAAGATTAGGTTTTTTTAAAATGAACTTTTATAAGGTTAATATCAGGTGGGTTTTGTGGATATTATAGTGATTTCAGTGGTTAAAATCATGAGTCAATTGAAGCTACACAACCATCGAAAACCTGAATGCTCTGGACTGCCGTTTCATCATAGTATGGGAATCCTCAGCAGTGCTTGTCCACGATCCCACCTCGCGAGATTCCAGCCCAGGACCTACTGGTTTCGTGCGCGAGCACATAACCACCAGACCACTGAGGCGGTCGACATCTAATGGTGTTAATGTCTAACTTCAACCGATCCACGAAAGTGAGCGACACATCCACCAATGTCTTCAGTGAGTTACTATTTCACAACAGACCTGGTTGAACTCCACTGGTCACTACTTCTCACTAGGACTCCAGGATATACCTCGTGAAGCCAGTCACTAGTGAGCATGTTACTAAATCACATGTAATTAACAATTCACATTGATGTAATATTCATTCTTAACTTTTATTATTAACTAACTAATATAATATTAATCTTCTTAGTTCAA